ATCTTGATACATATCGAACTGAATTTGCATGTGTATTGGCCTGCAATAACGAACTCGCGAGTGCGAGCGCGCCCAGTCGGCTGCCGCTTCGCTGATGCGCCGTCGGTGGGCCGTGAGCTGCCAAGTGGAGGACCTCTCCCACAGCGCGGGCGTAAAAAGGTCCGGAAAAAAAATGTTAAGCTCGGGTCGGCCTGAGTGCGCGCCTGCAAAGTGTGCACCAACGCTTCTGCACCGGTTTGCGTGGAGAGGGCATGCTGGTGAGGGTTGTGCAGGCGGCTTCGAAATGGGAGGCGAACTGTTGTGCAAGGGTCCTGGCAACGAGCCGTCGCAAAAAATTGCCAACCACCAAACTACGAGGCGGCCCAGGGCAAGGTCCGTGACAGCGGATTCCGGCACATGCGCTCGGGCGAGCAGGGAAGCGACCTCAAACAAAAGTTGTGATGCATTGTTCTCCTCCAGGTCCAAGACCAAGCAGAGGATTTCAGCAGTATAGCCGCGGGGGCCTAGCGCAGCACCACGGCGTGCTCGGCGCAAGCAGTGCCACACGGTCGAGTGCCACGGGGGCAGCAGAGGCAGCATCAAGGATGTTTTGGGGGAGCGGGCGGCAAGGCTCCGCTGGCCGCCGTGAGGGGTCCGTCAGCTGTCGGAGAGTGGCCTCTGTGGGTGGGGCCAAGGGCTCTGCAGTAAGGGCCTGCCGGGCCGCGGACAGTTCGCCGAGGTGTGCTAAACGGGTGGCACGCTCTAACCGACACGGCAAATCATGAGTGGTGTTGGGGGTGAGTGTGGCTGGGGTGCTGGCTTCGGCAAGTGCTGAGACCCTCTCACAGAATTTTTCAACAAGGCTTTGAAGTCCATTCAAGTTCTTAAAGGGAACTTCAATTTTTGAAAACATTCAGATGGAGCACCAGAAACAAAAAGTTACTATTTTCGCCACACGCACGAATTTGACACATTTTGACACACCCAAAAACGATAGATAGAAGATTCCACAAAAACGCGGAAACACACACGATCTGCACAGAGAAGCACAAAGGGTGTCTGTTGTTAGAAAATCAAAACTCGCCAGCGCTGTACAAACATTGTTTGTCGTTAGTTTGCACACCATGTAGACAGTACACCTCACGAGGAAAAGGTTCCCAATCACCGCGAAAGAAAGCGGTGAACCTCGCGAGGATGACTGGTATCGACCGGTTTCGGCACTCGACAGTTCCGGGTGGGCGGGAAAGCAGCATGCGTGGAAGGAAAAGCCAAAACTTCCAAGCACGCGGCGTCTTCTGAAGCGCAAGCGGGAGCAGTGGGGTCAGAGCCGGGGGCATCGCGGATGAAGCGCAGCCCAAATCGGAGCGCGCGGCGGAGCTGGGGTTTGCAGAGCTGGTGGAGTACGGAACCATTGCAAGGCTGCGACAAAGCGTCATTGACAGAGAAAGGGTCCAAACTAGCCAAGGCCGCCCGCAGGCGCGGGCCATGCAGTGTGTCGCAGGCGATGTGCAGGGAGAGGTGAATGCCCTCCCTTACCTCAGAGGTGGAGGATGAGGAAGACGACGAGGAGCTGCTACAGCTGCTGCTTGGGGCAGCGCCAGGTGAGGAAAAGCCCGCGCCGAAAACAGGGGCACCGTGGCCGTGCAATGTGGTGACTTGCTGCAGGGGCTCGGAAACAGCGCGTTTTCCCATGTGAATAATTAAACGTGCAGTAAGGCCTTCTTGGGCAGGTGGGGTATGTACCCATCGGGCAGTGTTACAATTTGTCATGCCCAAACCGAACCAAGTGAACAAGGGTGTTACTTTCCGCAACGATGGTCAACAAGAGTTGCGCTGCAGGCAACGGAAGCGCACGCCCTTCTTCAGTCGCTAGGTGCTGTAGGGTGTGCAAAGAATGCACCAACTCGGCGGGTTGCGCTATGTGTGCGCCCGCGTGCGAGCGTGTCGGGAGGGCCTTGGCAGGACCAGGCTGCGGTGGCCAGAGGTGCGGCAGCGGGGCCAACTGATGTTGTGGGCGCGTGCAAAGCAGGGTCGGCCGCAACGGCAGCTGGTCCTCGGAGCAGCGTGAGGGGTAACTTCTGGCGGGGATCCCAACCGCGGCTGAACTCGCGCAAATCCAATGCAAGCCGGCGGGGGCCGTGAGTGGGGCAAACAGGCGCTGTCGGCATGCATTGCAGCAACGGGTGGTGCTCATCGACCGTGGAGTTGCAGCGAATGCATACCCATTCAAGTGTCCAACCCCTGGATTGTCGCGAGTGCACGAGTGCCCAATGCATGTGACGGTCCGGCAATTCTTGCCACGCAGCCTCTAACGCCGCATTGGCAAAGTCAGCTAGGAACAACCTCGGGCAGCAAAACGGGAGTGGGGGGGGAGGGTCGAGGTGCAACCGCCTGATGGTATTGGTGCGAGGTGATCTTGGTCGGGCGCCGGGACGCCATGTGCGCGACACGCAAATGAACACCACGTCAGCGGCTTGGGGCGGCCACGGCGCGCGGCATGTGGGGCAAAGGCCACAGGAAAGGCGTCTCAGGGCCCTGAGGGTGCGAAGAGAAGTCACACAAGCAAACCGGGTATGCATCTGTTGAAGGGCATGCTGGCGGCGACGGCGCGTCATTGCCTAGTAACCACAGTGGGGTGGAAGGCGCGAGGGTGCTGAAGTGGGGGGAGTCAGGCACTGTGACCGCAGTACCCGGGCGGTAGCCGGGGGGATCCGGAGGGTCAAGGCAAAGGAGGCAACGCGGTGGCCGTGTGCAGCTGCGAAGTTGGTCAGTCCTGGGCACAAGGTAGACGGGCTGCCTCAGGAAACGCCAAGGCGGGTGCCAAGTCGGGAGAACGAGAGAGCGGAGCCGGGCCGATGTCCTTGCGCAGGACCGAATCAAGTCTAACACCACATGGAGTGCTCTGCGAAACACACCTTCGCAAACTTGCGGGGGCACCCGAAACAAGCAGCACGGCCGCGCCAGGACGTTCTCAGCTAGGAAGCTAGGAAAGGGTCAAGGTTCGCCAAGGAGGCTCGGTAGCGCAACCGGGTGTCGGAAGCGGGTTCATGCTCGCCGTTGGGCACATCAATGTTCAATGCCGCCGGGGTCGTTCTGTGTGCTACACGTACTAAAACTTGAGGAAGAAGCGCAGGGTGCCGAGGGCGCCTCGCCACAGCAACTCATAGTGAACATGGGCCTCCCAAGCTGCCAGCACGCTGGGGTGCAGACGGCGTAGCTGCATGTAACAGCGGCACGAATAACCAGCTGTTAGTGTTTTTTTCCCGAAGCAGGCAGCTGTGTTTCCGGCGGCAAGATGGTCGGGAGGGCCCTGATTGAACCACGCCGCCTCACTAGAAGGGCAGTCGACACAATTGCTGGTTGTTCCGGAGCACCACCGACCAGTGGGGGTTGAAGTGGATCTGAGAGCGGGACGCGTTCGCCCGGGCAGGGCAGCACTTCTGCGGTGGACCTTCGGCAGCAAACCCACCCGCGGCTAAATTCGCGCAAGTCCAGCGCGAGCCGCCGGGCGTGAGCGGGGCAGGTTAGTGGTTCTGGCACGTGCTGTAACAAAGCATAGTCTTCATCAACCGTGGCATTGCAGTGCATGCATACCCACTCCGGCCTCCGGGAATGGATGGGAGCCCAATGCATATGGCGATCTGGCAAATCCTGCCATGCGGCATCCGAGGTGGCATGCGCGAGCCTGCGCGGAACAGCCGCAGGCAACAGAACGGAAGGATGTGTGAAGGCAGCTTCGGCGCCGTGGAGTTGTGGTACTGACGGAACGTGGTGTCGTAGTCCGGGGCGGGCTATGGCGCCTCGACACCATGCGCACGGCATGCTGTGGTGAATGCATTCGCCGCTTCGGGCGACCACCGAGCACGGCAAGTGGGGCAACGTAGATCGCGGACATTGGCAACGAGGTGGGCAACGCAACGAGGTGGGCAACGCATGGCCGCAATGAGGCCAGTGGACTATAGTGGACCGGTGTTTCCCGGGCCCCGGGGTAGCTGGGCAACTCACATAAGCAGACCGGGCACGCATCGGTAGAGGGACACGGCGGGGGAGAAGGCGCGCCACATTGCTGAGCAACGAGTCCGGGGTCGCCGAAGCGGCTGCACTGTCTGCTCCTGCGATCGGCGACGAGCGCATGGTGGTTGGTGAGCGAATTGGTGGCGCATGCACTGGTGCAGTCGGGCTGGTCTCACCGGGGGAGAAATCGGGAAGCATGTCCGACAAACGGGCACTAAACCTAAAGGTTGGGCACCCGCCTAAGGTCTAAGCCAGATGGTGGCCCGGATGGCGCCGGGGGGGCCAGGCAGGACAACCGGGTTTTTTTTCTCCAGGGGTCCCCCGTTCCCAGAGCACCCATCTGCCGCTTCCGGCGGCGTCACAGACTACAGCGTCTGGTGCGTTGAGTGGCCCAGGAGCCGTTGAGATTCCAAAGCAGAGGCCCCGAGGCTAGACACAATTTCACGAGAGATCCACACCTGAGCCAACTTGAGCCAAAATGGCTTGAGCCAGAATGGATCCTTTACATGGGTGCTCCAAACTGTGGAGCCGGAGTCATGACGCACTGCTGCGACTCGCTAGGAACTTGCACCTACTCCAGACTTGGGATTGGTAGTGGATGCTCAGGGTGAAAGGGTCCGGTGCCCTATCTGTGCTAGCGCGACATGTGGATCGGCAGCAGCACATCCCCACCGTCTTAACCCTCCAGAGGGGCGGAAACTGCAGATTACAACATCGGCTTGGACAAGCGGAAACCTATATGTAAAACAGTTGCCTTTGGGGGGAGAGGGGAGGTAGAGCAAGGTAACCAGTGGCAATCGAAACTGTAAAAATAAACCTAAACCCACTACTAGAGAAAGATGAGTGTTACGAGTAAGATCCATCGCCTCAAGATAGAAATCAAGGCTATCGCATCTGCAAGCCTTCACGCAAGGATCTCGCGATCTGACAGATGGATGCCACATAATGTACATGAGCATTGCCAGCAGAGTGATTGTTCGGCACGAGGTGAGGATCGAAAATCCACCACAGCAGCTCGGCATGACCGAACTGAGGCACTCGTCGCAAGCTTAAGCGTTCAGAGTTCAGCGAAGGTGAAGGGCACATTGCTACTGTCATTACGGGAACAATCGGGCAAGCGCAGAAACGGCGTCGCACCATGCGAGCAGCCGCACGAGGAGAAACCGCTTGTGTATGCTCAACACGAAGGAGCCAAGCTGACCAGCACTGAATTCTAGCAAGCCAAATCAAGTCAAGTCAAACCTGAATTGCCCGAAGGCTGCCCCTTGAGGGCTGAAACAATCATTCTAGCAGCATGGAACATGCGGTGGAACCGATTGCATGCAGCATAAAGTGACTCAGCGCCACAGTTGCGACTACGCCAGGCCGCATTCCTAGCAAGCAACGCATCAAAACAAGCATGATTCCACCAAGTCGGTTGTGCACTCATCATACAAATCATCTTGAGCCAATGGTTTATCGGCGGTTGCTTGGCGTGCCGGTCTGACAAACGCGCTTGCACATGCGAGGACCGACGTTCCACATCTCGCACCTGAGCCAAAATCAGATTGACCCAATCACGAACATGGAATGTGTTTTCTTCGCACTTTTTTCCGCAGCACGAAACAGCCCCAATCGCTTCCCGAACAAATACGCCTGCCAGCGCACCTAAGAGCGCAGGCATGCTGCCCAAGCGAGGCTATACTCACAGAGGGTTGACGAGAAGCGTGACACTCCCCGCCGGCGGCTGTTTGTCGTCCTCGTTCTGAATCCCAACTCGGCCGTACTGGCTACTCCTGCCCAAAAAGCCTCGCTGTTTTTGTGTGGGCGTAGACCATCCAATCCGTCGCACCGCTAGCAGGCACTTCGCCTGCAGCTTCAGGCGGGTCACCGAAACGCTTCCTGCATCGGGACGTAAGTTTTGTGCGGCCCTTTTCGAAACTGCCAGGATCTGCCAGTTCTCCTCCGAAAAGGCCGTGACTTCACCAGATGTCGCAGTGCTCCTTGCCGCCCCAGTTTGCCGGCGTAGTGTCCGTCAACTCCGTCGTGTCCACGCCAGATGCAACCGTTGCCTTGGCCCGCGCTTCTGGTTTTTGTTAGCACTTCAAGCGACGAGGCTTGGCCCGAATGGCATCACGCCGGGCTCCTCCCTCACTCGCTCAGGCACCCGGGACTGCAATGCCCGCTGGACGAAACACGGCTGACACAGCCGGCTGACAGTCCTTCTTGGTGCAAGAGCATCGCAGGCGGTGCGAATCGCAGCTGCCACGAGTGACTGCATCGCACGATGCCATGGCACCCTATGGCTGAGCAGCTAGAGCGGGACGTACTCAGCACAGCAGCCGCTTGGGCCTTTGAAGAATAACAGGGGGGAGAGGGCCAGGGAACTGCAGTGAACAACGCCTCACAACTGACAAGGTCGTTCGCGGCTGTGGCATCACTGAAAGAATTGCGGTTTGTGTGCCAGCTTGCATGCGAGCTTGCGAGGTGTGTGTGCCAAGGCTGGCCCCTGGCCGCGACGACAGCGCATAGCACTGCATGTTGAACGCCGCCCAAAGATGCGCAGCGAACTGTTGAGCTAAGGCAACCAGGCGACGCAAAAAGAAGGCCGCGCGCGCCGCCCGAAGGCTTGCAAATTGCAACAAAGCGCGCGATTGAGCGTGCAGTGACTGTTGGCTCGGGAAGGCCAGCCCACAGCAGGGTGGCGACCTCCTCGTGAGCGAGAACCAGGCGGATGATTTCGGCTGCGTATGCAGGGCTGGTTAAACTCGCAGAGGCTAGTGGTTCTGCCGAGAGCGTTTGCCGCGCGACCGAGATCAGGCGCATGGCACGCTGCGCGTGGAAGTCGAGACCGTCAGTGGAGCCAGGGGGGTGAAAAATCCAAGCGTTGCAACTGCGGCCAGCGCCTTGTGGAGCAGTGTGCTCCATTCCCTGCGAGCGAAGGCGGAGAAGCGTCAGCGCCTTGTGGAGCAGTGTGCTCCATTCCCTGCGAGCGAAGGCGGAGAAGCGTGCAAGGAGCTCAATCAGGTTTGGGCAACCCCCAACAGAAGCCGGGGCAGGAATAAGAACAATTTCCCAGCACTGATAGCTGCCGGAGGCAGTGGCGCAGCAGGTGTATCGGCAGTGGACGCATCGCGGATCAGTTTAAAGGAAAGTTGTAGGGCCTAGGGCCCGAAGCAGACTTTCTGACGCTTTGGTCTGCAGTGTCCTGTGTGTCACCAACACCCACATGTCTGTGCAGGATCTTGCAGGACCAAATCGGTCTCTCAGGACTCGGACGGGAAGCGAACGCGAAAGCTGCTCACGGCGAGCGGCGGCCTGCCCGAAGGCTGCGGGGCCGGGTGTCAGTGCCGGTTGCGATGTGCCGGCTTACATGACGGTGCTGACAATGCCTCAGTGTGATATGCATCGCTGACTACAGTAGGGCATCAACGTTCATACGATACAAACACTGCCCGCGATCTATGCTCCGGCCTCGCAGCAAAGTGCGTTGGGAGCACTAACCAGGCACGAGCCGCACAGGGTCATGCTGGCACCGCTCGAGGTGAGAAAGGCACGTCTCGGCAGCAGCAGCACGTTGCTATCCACGTATGCGATGCTCTCTCCCGTCCGGACATTTTGCTGATACACTTTTGCTGCAGGGGCCGGTTTAAAGAAAAGGATAGAAAAGGGCACCTTATGAAGCCCCTTTGATGGGACGCGGGCAGCGGCGCCAAGCTGCTGAAAAAGGGCCGCAAGGCCATGTCGGGATGCGCTCAAACAACGCAAAAAAAGTGCACCTGACAAGGGACCCCTAACATGCGGCTTGCAGTTGTTTTGCCGTGGCGGCGAAAAACAAACATGCGTTGCGTCAAATGGAAACCATTTCAGCCGTCACAGACCAGGCTCCGTGCTGTAAACATCACTGTAAATGTCGTTGGATGGTCGTCATAGGTGGAACACAAAGATGCTCTAGGAAAAGATAGAGACAGCGCATTTTTGGAGTCGTGTAGGTGCACCCGCTGATCCTAATTGGTGAGATCCCACGAAGCATTCAGCTCCGCACTGCCATGCAATGCGATACGATTGCTCTCGCAAAATGACCAGCAACCGAAGCTAGTCGTTCGACGCGTGCCGTGCGATCTGCGTCAATGCTGGGCTTCGCAGCTTGTTGCGGGCACGCTGCGTATTCGCTGCCCTGGCGCGAGCGTTTGCAGGGGAAAGCCGAATTTGATGAGTGATTCAGCGAAGGCCAGGGGCGAAAGTAAGTTTATGAGAGTGCGACAGTGCCCATAGCTTTGCCTGCTCCAGGCACCCTCGCACTGCAACCAAGCAACATTGTCCAGTTCCAGCTTCACGTAGGCCAGGTCATCGTACAAACTTTGCCCACCCATTGTTCGGAAAGCCTCCACGGCAGCAATGAGGGTGACATACCTTGCTCGCAGATGCGCGCACGCAGCCGTATCCAGTTCTATGCTTCGTTCAGCTCGTGGATACTCGACCAAACGCCAGCGAGCTACACTCCACCGAAGAAGCAAAGGACGAGTCCAATCACTGCTTTCAGCTCGTCTGCCGGAAGCTTCACGAAAATGTCGTAGAAAAATGAATAGAGGCCTGTCTGTTGCTCAGAGACACAGAAAGCAAGCAGCCAACGCTCGCAACGTCATTGCTCTAGTTTGGACTGGCGGATGACTGGGAGCCGAATAGTGTGAGTAGTGAGTAGTAGGCGACGTGCCATGGGGTGAATGTGAGGCTGGCTGGCATGCGTGTCAGCTGCGACTTGAATGCGAGCCAGTCACTGAAGTAGCCTTGCACGACCTGGGTGATCTGATCTTCGTGCACAACCGCCGCTCAATGTCACTTGGCTCAGTGTCCGCTCTGAATGCTTTGGTGCCCCACTGCTCGAGCAAATCCGAGAGCTCCCAACCTGGCTGGCAACCGCAGCTTCAACCAAGAGTGTCACACGTGTGGAAAGGTAACACGGCATCTCCAGCACACAGCACCGACTGCAGGCGCACGGTAGGAAGGAGTGGGGCATCAAAATTAGAAGGTGCGCTATTCACTTTCGACCGAGACGCACCCAGGGCTTCAACTTCTCCAGGGTCTCTTGCAACTTGGGGTCGTCCTTTGCTTCTGCAGCAGTCGAGATGAAGCGAGAGACCTGCATCACATGGCAGGAAGCGATTTGTGGACTCCCAATAAGCACCAGAACCCCGAGTCCCGAGCGATAGGCCTTGGGATTCCGTGCCAAGGACTCGAAGATGCTGGTTTTCGGCAGCAAAGGCTGCGCAGTCGACATACCCGCAGCGAGCTCCTAATTCAGACACTCCACACTAGTCGAAACTGAACATTACGGTTTGAGCCAAGCTTTCGCGACAGTAACAGCAAATGAAACAAGACATATCCACTCGCTTGATCTACCAGTTGCACAGAGAAAGGCCACCCTGCATGATGCAGCTACTGTGCGAGCCCTCGTTTTCAGTTCGCCATCGCTTTGGGATGTGCTCCATCCACCAACCGACCCAGATATGGATGCCTGTTTCCCAGCCAAAGTCCACCGGCTTCTGTGCGCTTCCACAGGCGGTCAGCACATGGCGGGACATTGAATTCACAAATTAGTGGCACCTTTGGTGTCTTGCAAGGCTAGGGAGTTCGTCCACACAGGAAAAGCCTCTCTTGTCAATATTCCGGCACCATTTGGTGTGGAAGCACGGGACGCAGCCATGGCCTCACCACGACGGGCAGCTTGCAAGATGACTCGATTGGAGCTGGCAAAGAGTGCAGGGGCGAAGGCTCCAGTCAGGATCTTTTCGAAACTCACATGAAATGCCTCTCGGCACGAGGCACTTGGGCCACCAGCCCAGCTGAACCTGGTCAGGGGTGTGGGTGAGGCCTTCGCATGCTCTGGGTCCTGCTGGAAGTACCCGTGCTTCAAAAGCCGACGTGTTTTCACTCTGCGCTGTACAAGTGATCTGCACACAAAAGCGACTGTTCAGCCAAGTTAGGCCGAGAGCTGTGACAAGGCCACCACCGGCAAGCCTGGCAAGCAGGCACCGACGCGCTGAGGCAAAGGCTTGGAATTGCCGGTGCTGCTGCGCCGTCGGAGGCTGGAGCTCGATGAGAAGGAAACCTCGGAAGCGACGAAAGATCCGAGGCTCTGCGTCTCGTCGTCCTCCGTGGTCGCGGTGCCTATGACCGTAGGCTCTGGCACAAAGTCCGCGCACGAAGGCTCTGACTCTTCAGCCGGTTGGCATCGGATTGCCATGATCACGACACTGAAAAGCATGCAGGTGGCTCCCAAGAGCTTCAGCGGCTTGGGGGCATCATTCATCAGTACTGTTTGTGCCACATAGCCTGAGATCATACTTGCAGATGTGAAAACCGTTGCGCTGACCGCAGCCGGACACCTCGTCGCTCCTGCTGCTGGCAGCATAATGGAAAGCAAGACCCAAGCTGTCATCGCGGAGAGCAGCCCCAGGGCCTGCCAAGGCTTGTCAGCTACAAGCTTCAGACCCTCCTCTGATCCGGAATGCAAACCCAGGGATGGCGGCACGAAAGCCAGCGGAACGCTTAGAAAGAGGGACAATACGGTCAGCAGTGAGACCGGAATGTGGGCGGACTTGCGGGCACAGACGAAAGCACCAGCTTGGAAGCACCCTGCTAACATCGCCAAGCAGTAGCCAAGCGGAGATTGCTTCGACCCCTCAGTGATGCCGAACAGAAACTGCGGCTGCGAGATGAAAAGAGCGCCAGCAACTGAAAGAACCAAGGCAAGGAAATGCAGCATGCTGACTCGCTCACCCAAGAACATGAGGCCCAAAAGTGCAGCAGCGATGATGTCGATGCTTGTGAGCGCGGCCACGTCGCCCGGAGCGGCTCCGACCAGCACTGCATAAATGGCCAGCATCCAGTGTAAGTTCTCGAAGAGAGCTCGCGCAAAAATCCACTTCACATCCGGTAGCTTCGGGCAGTTGACCCCCTGCCACCACAATACGAGGCCGTTTGCCATCGTTCCGACTGAGCAACAAGCAGCCAACAAGTACCAATACGGCCAATGCATGTCCTCGATGGCTTTGCTCGTCACCATCTCACAGGTCACAGCAAGCCCAGATGCAGCCATAAGCAGAATGCCAACTGCTTCTGTGGAGCAGCCCATGTTTCTGTGGCTTTGGATCGATGCTCTCCTTCTCTCGCTTTCGAGTCGAGCCGAACCAAGGCTCAGCTTTCACAGAGTGGCAGAGCTGGAGATGGGAAAAAAATCAGCCCAAGTACGTAAACCTTCCTGAGTGAGCGAATGAGCCCCGCCTGCAAAGGAGGCTTTCGTTTTTGGATCAGGTGCCCACCTGCTGTGGCGCTTGTGCCGCGGAGTGCACCCTGGACTGTAGTAGAACGACACATTGCAGACTCACTGCTAGCTGCTAGCCGATCTCGCCCACTCTGTTCCGGCACCTCCTTGGCAGACTCCCTCATCTTTTATGGGCTGCTGGGCTGCTCAACCATCCGCTGCCAGAGAGGAGCCTCTCACGGGGAACCTACACACTTAAAGAGTCAAAGAGTCTCCGTGCCTGCTCAGCGAGCGCATGTCTGCCGGCATGCCAGTCTGCCTGCCACATGGAGCTCAGTGCAGGGCTACAATTTGGTCATGGCGCAACGTCGTGCTTTGGCGAGGACCAGTGGCAGACAGCTCAGCACCCGGCCTCGCTGCAGACGCATTCCGGCCTCCACAAGAGAGCCAGGCCAAGTAAACATTCGCTACCATCTCCATCCTCATCTCACCGAGCCTCCGATACTGGCACGGGATAGGCCCTCCGAGCTCTTTGGCACTTTGTATTCTGCCTGCTTGTTCGGCCTCTGCTGCGAGTGGAAGATGCAAGTGGGTTTCACCCAACCACGCACCCATATAAGTTCACAAAAGGCCCCAACATGCCCGTCACTGTCAAACCTACGACACTGCTTTCCGAGTGCAGAACGACTCAGCGAGCTGCTTCGTTTGATGGCCTGGTTCAGGGAGCCAGGCTTGACCAGCACACTCAGCACACAGATGAAGGCACGCAAGGAAGGCTCGCAAGGGATCTTACCGACAGTCAAAGCACCTCGTTGTGCTTGTAGCTGGGCTTGGAGTCGGGCCTGCCTCGGCTTGGAAGACACGAGGTTCCCTGCTAGCGGCTGGCGTGGAGCACGCACTCCACAGAACAAGGTGGCTGAACTTGGCGATTCACCGATCGCATGCGGCAGGCGGCACCGCCTGCATCCGCAGGTCGGCAAAAACCCATCTGCCAGTAGACGTCATGACCCGACACGGCATGCCGACTTGGCGAAACGAGCCACGACCCAGACCTCTTGCGCGGGGTACACTATTGCGAGACTCCGGAACGAAGACATTTGATGCAAGTAGCATTTTGTGGAGACGCTGGGACGCTGCCCTGGTGTGTCCCAGCCTTCGGCCCGGCTGCAGCATCCGGTGCATCTGCCAAGAGCTCCTCTTCGAGTGTGCCGTCTACAGGTGCCGTCTCAAAGTTCGGAGCCTCTCCTCGCTCAAGGCAGGCGTCGCCTCTGCCTTCAGCTGCGACAGGGACGGCTTGGCCCAACAAAAAACTCCTGACCCGGAAAGCTTGAGAATGCAACGCTCTTCTGCGAGCACCTCACAGGAGCTGTTGGGTGGGCGCTGGACTGTGGACCCTCAACCGTCAAACTCGGCAATGCCTTTGCTTGGTTCGCTTGGGGCCAGAGCCTGCGTCGACAAGTTGATGCGATAGCACGAATTCAGACTGCCGCATACAGCCGAATACAGTGCAACCGCCTTGCGAAACCAAGCTCTCCAATGCCTCGACGGGACTCTACACTCTGCACATGTTCGAGAGGTCTCAGCTTAAAAGGAGTTCCGCCTGCATGCGAGCCCTCTGGTCGGTGAGCTCGTCCCGACTCGTTTTGAGCTCGGCCTCCAGACGGAACGAGCGTTGGCGCTCCATAGCCGCAGCCTGACGCCGGCAAGTGAGGAGGCTGGCAGAGAGATGAAAGTCAGTGGCGGAGCCTCGCCTCCTCGCATGCAACCACCTCATCTCGCAGGGCCTCCGAAACAAGCGGGCGCCATTGGAGCCCACAAAAACTCAGTCCTACCGTCCTACCGGCTAAATGAACAGATGCGACCTCGGCAGTCGCATTGGCAGAAGCGATCTGCCGCAGGAGCTCCGACTGGGCCTGGGCTCCATCCACAGGCCCCCCCTTTGTTGGTGACTCCAACTCAGCACGACCTTTCCGGTCCTCAGATCCTCGCGGCATCGTTTGAAGCTCTCGGTGTAACCTTGCGATCGCGATCCTGAACACGCCTACACTTCTCAAGCCTTGACCTGGCTTCCGTGCTCCGAGAAGATCCCCAGAAGAGTCATACTTCGTAGTCCTCGTGGTTTCGATTATCCCTCGCCGCTACCCTCACAAAGGCATGCGAACCCGTACCCTGGGTATCAAGGCGCTGCCTCCTCGGCACGGCGGAGGCGCTCCTGCCAAGACTTCAAAGGGAAGTGCCGAACTTCAGGCTGCGGTGTGCAGAAACTCTTGGGATTCGAGTTCGGGTCAGCTCGGGATACCTCGAGTCGAGGCTCGGGAGCGTTGGCTGCCGGCACACCGTGGTCTGGAAGTCTACACATTTTCTCCATCGCACCAACGCGGTTCTGAGCATGTGAAACCGACGCAACCGCTCCTGATCATGCTCCGCACAACTTACTTGAGGGATCCTGAGGGTCGCATGTGTGTGGAGTAGCTTGGGGAATTCACACTCAGCACGATGTGCTCTAACATGAAGCAGCATTTATCTGAAATCACCTAGACTAGTGAGTTGTTCTGCTCATGCTGTGCTCCCCCTTTGACAGCGTCCGCGAAAGCAGGGCGTGCTGCTTAGGCGAAATTCGCACCGCTGCTCGGTGAAGGAAAGAAGCTCTGAGGTGCACCTCACAGCGGCACTGATTTTGACCCGCCCAGACAAGGCAGAGTTTGGGATGGCCCCATGAGGGCAAGCATTGCATAACCACGATTACCTAAAGGCCGTTAATGGAACATCTTGAGAGGCTGAGCATCGCGCCGACCGAGCGGGCACTCTGCGGCGTGGGCTTCTTCTCTGACTGTGGCGTAAAATCCTTGTCCGCCGGAGGTTCCCGGACGAAGGGTTCCTCCGTCGGCACGTCCACGGAGTCACCGGGCACCGCCGACTTGAAGACATCACTGGTCGGCGCTGGAAAGCTCTGATTGCCTAAAGCGTTCAGGAAACGGGCGTCTCCAAGCAGGCGCTCAAGCGAAGCCACAAAAATCCTCGGCCCTGGACCCATCGCTGCAGCCCCAGCGGACTGCACAGCCGCAGCCGGCGCGGCAGTATCAGGGGCAAACCTTAGACATCTCTCCATTGCTCGAAACACGACTAAGCACAATGAACGGACACTTCTGAACCCAGCTTCGCAAATGCTGTGTCCTTTGTCCCAGCAGATGTGCAGGCTCACATGGGCGATCTTCGTGCAAATGCTGCACATCATGTGGCGCTTTCGCACTCGGAGACCTCGACCGGAGTCTCGTGAAAGCCTTGAAAGAGCCTCTGCACTGATGCGAAGGGGTGAAACAACTTCAAACGGGGAGACAATCAGAGTTGAAAAAAAAGCGCTGTCACCACTGAAGGACAATGCGGAATGACTCCATCCGCTGTTCCTGCAGTTGCTTCATCGCTTCGTTCACTTCCGAAAAGGGTCTGATCTGGGAGGTTGTCCACGCGGAAGACTGGGAGAAAAAGTCTAGGTTGTTGTACACCAGATGGAGCATCTCTTTGGTGCGCCTTCTGCCACAGGCAATGGAGCCAACAACCTTTCTTGCACTGAAGATCAGGGGGTGCCAGCTTGCCTGAAGCTCTGCATCAGCAGCGAAAGGAATACCTACCCGGACTAAAGTCCCATTGATCTTCAGGAGCTTCATCAACTGGTTAAGTCCCGCGTTCACCGGAGATGTGTCGAAGAAGGCGTCGATGCTGTTCTCGGCCCTCATCATCGAAGCCGAACTTGCCGTGCTCACAAACTCATCCGCCCCCACCTCCAGCGCCGCCTCGCGCTTCCCTGCGCTCGCGCTGAAGACAGTGACCTTTGCACCCATCTTCTTTGCCAGCTGCGTTCCCAGCGTGCCGAGCCCACCGAAGCTACCAATGCCTACACTGGATCCGGGCTTCACCCACGTGCACAGTGCCTCGTACATGGCAGCACCTGCACCCATCAAAGGGCACGCAAGTTCTGGTGGCAGGCTTGGGGCTAGTAAGAATGCGAAAGCCTCCTCCACCCGCACGATCTTCGAGAAGCAGCCACCAAATTCGTTGCTGGGCACCTTGCCGAAAGGGCCGGCAGAGCTGCCGAGGAAGGTGCCTTGGTAGCCGGTCTCGCAGAGATTCTCCATGCCCTCGCCGCAGGCATCGCAAAGTCTGCAAGAATCCCGAATCCAGCCAACTCCAACCCTGTCACCCACTCTCAGGCTTTGAACTTTGCTTCCAAGCTTTCGGACCATTCCATAACCCTCGTGGCCAAGGACAAGTGGGAAGTCCGAGACTCCCCAGTCGTTGTCACGCATGTGTAAATCGGCTCGGCTAAGACCACAATGGCTCATCTCCACCTCCACCTGGGTTTCCGTCAGTGGCGGTAGGAGAATGCTTTGGAGCTCCATGGCCTGTCCCTCAGCTTTGATGACGTAGGCCTCCGTCGGCAGAGGCGCGGCTTCATCCTGCTCCTCCGCCATCTAAACAAACTCTTGGCCCTAGGCCCTAAGCTCGCGAGAGTGGTTCTGCCGTTCGGACCGAAAGCCAGCTTTGGCACAAAGGTTCTCTGCGACTGCGTCTCCCAAACAAGAAGCTCCTTTTAATTTTGGTGTGCCGAGCTCGTGGCGCCATGGAAACGCCAGGGTTCATGACTGGCACCTCGGCTCCGATTCAAAGTGCCAACAGGCAGACCCTCCTCACAGTCGCGCGTTAGTCCCAGGCCGATTTCACTTCGGGAGCAGCTTGGCCCATGCTCGCCATGAACTGAAGCTTGTTGGAATACGCGGAGAGGGACCTTAACTGCGTGTTTGCCCCGACCCCGAGGGGGTGGCAAGTCTTTGGGCATCTTCCCCCTGGGACGAGCTTGCAACACTCCGTGCTCAATTCGTCTTGACCGAAGAGCACTGAGTTGTAGGTCATCTCCGTGATCTCCTCTGCGGCGGACCACACCACGTAGATCTGGCTCAGGCTCTTGCGTTACTAGCGGGGGCCAGGGGTGCTGCAACCTGACAAGTAAACAGGTCGGTGCTGCCAGATACGCGTGAAGCAACGCAGCCACTGTCGTCCACATGAACACGAAGCTCTCCTGCCCCCCGTTCTTTGATCATGCCTGCTCCAAACGCGTGGTTGCCCTTGGATTCAGCGGCTCGCACACACGACGTGTAACTGATGTGTCCTAAGCATGCAAAACCGTGGTCGTCATTCCTGTTGGTGTGGAGTGCAGTAAGATGACGCTGCCGCGGAACCCTTCCGCGGTGCTTCCACGGGTGATGTTTCAGGTTCCGCGGACATTAACCTTACAATCGCTTCCGCGATTCCCTTTCGCAGTGGCTTGTTGAGTTTGTGGGATTTGCTTCCACGGGCAGGGGATCACTTCTTGAGGAGGCAAGTGTTTGGGCAAATTTTGCTAAGGACTGCACCCACTGTTGACCCCGTGAAACTGAACAGGAAGAGCGCGCACTAAGCAATGCCTGGTGGGAACGAGCCCTGCTGCGATACGTATCTCGCCTGAGCCTGGGAACTTTCAGCTGCTATATTGGGTTTAGGGTTTAGGGTTTAGGGATATGACAAAAACTTAGCTTATCACAGTCGCAAGCGGGCTCCGTGAAACCGCAGACGAACACAGAGCCAAGGCGTTGGATCTCATCTTCGACCACACTGTCACAGACCTCACCAGGAAGTAAACACTTGGACACGTTGAACTCGCGGATTTCTGCCGAGTCTGAAGCTTCTGCTGTCTTCTGCTCTTCGGGAAACTCTGGTGGGCTTTGCTCTCACTTCGACATGAACAAAATAACCTGTCCCGTGGCCTGCCTTGCCAGAGAGAAGTAGCCAGGCAGAGACGGAAATGCCCAGCGGGAAGCTGATCACCAAGTACCAGAAAAGCGTCCTGCACTTCTTTTGATTTTGCATATGCTACTTTGTACATATGCTTGCAACACGTGCTTTTCCAGCTTCAACTTCGTTTCTTGCGGATACCTCAGCAAGTGGAAGGGAGAAGCCGTATCCACTTTATCCTACTAAAGCAAACCATCCGACGAAGCTAGGTGGAAGGGAGAGGCCGCATCCACGACTTTATCCTACTGACCGCAGCTTCGAATCGCGTCAGATGAAGGATCGTACCTAAACCTCACTTGAGACCCGGGGGGGGGACCACGAAAGGCTGTACGTGATCGTCTTGTGGGAGGTGCAGGAGGTTGTGCAAACAGCCCTGTTTCTAGTGAAGAGAGGCCGGCCGCATCAGCCCGTTTCGTTGATGTAGTGTGTGAACCAAATGCAAGCTCGCCCGATTGCTGCCAGCTGAGCATTCACGCCGACATCATGCCAGCCCGGCATTGCGCCAAATTGCCAAAGCAACACTTGCAGCACTGATCCCCAGGCCTCAGCAAGTGGTCGACATGGTAGAGGACACCTACACCAGCGGCGATCACCACAGGCATCCCGGCCTCAGACAGTCGATCCAGACGAGGTGTCTGCCGACATGAAATGTGGTGCTGCTTGATCTTTCTTCCCATTTGTCCGGTCGAGTGGCGAGCGCCCAGGAGGCACAAATCACTTGGATTTCTGGGGACACCTGCCGCCGTTGAGGGCCACTTTCATTGTTGTGCATGTCACGGTAGACCGAAGTTCTAACATGCCAATGCGCAATATAACCTCTAGTTGATCATTCTGCGGGGTGAGATAGCAGCTTGGTCGTCGGACAAACTCTCCAGCTTTCCACCTTCAGGCCCATAAGCGACAAGGTCTCCGCAGAAGAGCATAGGGAGATGATGGTAATCCTCGGCAAAGCACCACATAAGAAGAAAGGACTGCTTTGATGAAGAAAGGACTGCCTTGATGCAAACGACATAGGCTGCTTCTCTGCCATCTCCACGTCTATGGAACCACGTACTGTTCAGGCCAATGAAACCTCTCTCAGCGTCGATCCCTATTCTGGGGTCTCCGCGGAAACGCTAGGAATATGGCAATTGAACATGAACAACAAGCTTAGGACACACGTCTGCGGGCCACGCTAGCCAAAAGAGAAGAGTGGGCCACATCCAAGGAACCGCTTGGCCCTCAAGTGACTCCCAGAGTTCCAGTCCCGACCTACCTGCCTCATCAAATGGCAAGCCGGACTTGCAACCGCGCAACTGCACCAGCAGCGAGAGGAAGCAGGTAGCCTCCGCATCATGCAGCGCACTCACATTGAACAGGCAAGCAAACCGGCAATGTTTGTGACCATGGCATGACTTTGTCGACCGTGGGTCTGAAAGTTGGACCCTGTACCTTGTCCAATATTTGAGACGTGCCGCCTCCACCCCCACAGTGAGGGTGCAGCACCCGAAGCAGCCGTGCCTGGGCTCCGAAGCTTGAGGGAGGAAAGCCCCTGCATATCCAAGTAGATCGTCTAAAGGACCCTTCATCGACACGTCGAAGCAGATCCCGCTTGCCGATTCTAACCAAGTTGCGCCGGCCGCACCTCAAACAGCAAGAAGCGAGAGAGAGCGCGAGAGAGCGCGAGAGAGAGAGAGAGACCTGCACACCTGTCCTTTCCGAAAAAGTGTCCGCAAAGCACTTTTTGTCCTTTGGCCAAAAAACAGCGTTACCCAAATCTGTCCTTTCAAAAAAGTGTCCTCGCAAGGTGGTGAAAGTACAAAAGAGTGCTTTGCTCCCAGAAGATGTCATTATGGCTCATGGATCCATCGTTTGGGCTTGGTATTTCAGTGTTGGAGCTGCGTAGTTCCAGTATCAATGGTGGAAAGTCAGCAGGATTGCTGATAAAGTGGGTCGCGAAGCATGGTTTCACGGCGGTTCCCATGTGTTTTGTTGACTTTTGCAGTGAGAGACTACATTCGGGTGTTGTAAGCTGTGCCCAAGTTAACTTATTGGGGGGTGTTACTTTGTTTTTTTTCTAACTCGTGTCTCTGTGTGTGTGTGTTAAATTCATATTTGTATATATTATTATATATGCATGCGCGTTTCCCTTCTATGCGACATGAGACACTCGTGTTCTTGCCATGGGATCCATGCTTACCTATCACTCACTCGATAATATTGGATGGTAATTCCGTGTGCTGTCCGATAGATTGCATGCGGCATGTATAGCGGCTGCTTTTTCATCCGCAGATCAGTAGTGGACCGAATGTAGTGTAGAAGCTGGGTATATCGACACAAGAAGCCAACGCAGAGCTTATGTATGGCATGCAGGTTGTGCCACTTGATTTTGTGAGATCTTTTTTGCAGCCATTTGGCTACCTGTACCCTCTTCATTTATTATACTTATGTATGATGTATGGATATATATGACTGTCTGTATATGTATATCTGCATGTATCTATGTATATATGTGTTTAGACGTATGTCGTATATATGTATGTGTGTGTATGTATATGT